GGAAAGATCAGAAAAGATAATTCTGAACATATCTTCATTTTAAAATCTGATCATTTCAGTGTCCTTTTGGAGCACAAAGCTTCGATATACATCCTACCTTTGAGTCTAAGGTGCAGTGAGTCATATGTTTCTGAACGTAAATAGGTGTCACAAACTCTGTCAGTCCTCCTGTTCCCAGCCAGGCAGGCTGGGAGGAAGCTGCACCAACTGTTCCTAGGCAGTAATGTACATTTACATAAAATGTTTCACATTTTTCATGTTTATTCCGTGCAGATGGCTCCATTTTGAACATCCAGGATTTGTTTTGACTTTGTGACTGTAGCTTGTAAACAGAGAGTTGGATGGCATCTGCACTGGGTATAGGTAGCTTTTTGTATCTGATCTCAAGTTGAGTGAGGCTGTAGCCAAACCATTAGTCAGTCAAAATAACATTGCAAGGTGGTGAAGGCAGCATATCTAAACCATGAGGGAAGCCTGAATTAGAGACTAAATGCAGCTTTGTAAATTAAGGCACCTCACTTGCATCACTATTAAGCATGAAAACACTAGTGCTGATTCTTGTCTGTGGGCATTATACGTATGGAAATCATTTTCAAGGACAAATTAATACAAAAAATGTGAAGTTCTCTACTTCTTCTTTTGTCAGTTCCACTCCTGTATCTTCCAGATGAGGCTTTAGGGTTATTTTTCCTGCTAAGAGTATTTAAACATTTTAGGTCTTTTCTATATATTAGTTAATAGAAAAGGACATCGATTTTGATTTGTTATTTGAGAGCATAATCGAGCCATCTTTTGCTTTAAGAGGTTCCCTGTGCCTTTGTCTTCTCTAGTTTAAGTAATTAAGGTGAAAGATAAGTAGCCAGAGTATGTTCAAAGGCCTTGGCTTTATTTTGTTAGACGTAATCATTCCAGACAATACACAATATTTTCCACTAACTCCCCTTTACCCATTCAGAGTGTATCTGCAGTTCCTGCTTATCTGCAGGTTCAGGTCTATCACCTTGCTGGAGAAATACATGATTCGTAAATCTGAAAGAATTCCCCAACAGTTACCATAAAATTAAACTGTTAAAGAGCTCATGGAGCTTGTTTAAATGTAGACCTAAACAAACCTCTTTGCTGTTTAGCTCAAGATAAATCTTTTTTAAAGTCCTGTTGTAAATCACTTGCTAATTTTAATGAGTTTATATATCAGCCATTGCCAGATTTTTACTGTAGCTATTCTCCAAGATTACAACCATGATAAAGTAAGAACTAAAATTGTTTATTACATATTATTCTTCAGAAGCAAAACTTTTCCCTCCAGAGGCTGTTGGGAGAGCTATTGATTTTCTGCCACAATGTGAAATGTGTGACCTTTATAATATGAGCAATGATTACAAGGCCAATAAAATGACATCATTCTGTTTAAACTTTAGAGTTTGCAGGGCAAATAGCAGAATATGCCACATTTAATGATGTCCATGGACAATAAGTGTACATTGCCTGGCTTCAAGTGAAACTGAAACACGAAGCTGGAAGGCTCTCCATCCCCAGAATCCCCTGTCTTTGTGCCAGGAGTGGAGGAAAGGGTTTATATACTAGGTAGAGCTGTCTCTTTTCCCAGCTCTAAAGGCAAGAAGTCAGTGCTTTTCTGAGAGCAGACTTTCCTAAATGTTTGCATCCACTGGTGTCACTGACAGAACTCCTCCTAAGGTGCTACAGGATGAGCTGTTTGGGGCACAGGTGTATACATTTGTCCAGGTTTTCCCCAGTCTATTCCCCAGTGCGTTTATGGGACTGAATTCTATTCTTGTCATACAGCTTTAGCCACTTCTTTGCAGTACCTTTAGAGTAACTAAGTGAAAGCTCCATCCCAAATAGATGCAGTACAACTGCACAGAGCATAGTGATATTCCAATACATGCAAAGCCAAGGAGCACAGGAAGCTTTGGTCTCAACCAAAGCTCAATCTGATTCACTGAGATTTTGAGAAGAAATCTTGGAATTTCCCACTTCAGTCACATCAGCCTGTTTGCCCCCATTATTTTCCTCTCTTCCTTCCAACACTCATATTTGATCCATGAGGACCTGCTTCAATCAGTTTCCTGCCTGTTGTCCAGCCCAGACCAAGGCAGATCCCCAACACGTAAACCAGGGTACCTGTGATTTCCCTGTGCGGGCTGAACCAAACCTGTGCTCAGTATCTGGTGCAGCTAAACATGGATCCAGATTGCTCACTGCTTAGAAAGTGCAAGCAAGACAGCACAACACATTCAAGGCATTGCAGAGGAAGGAACAGGGATAATTTTCCTTCCCATTTCTGTCTCGATGTATAATATCGATAATCTCTGTAGCTTCGTATTAAACTTGCCGTAAGTGGCTCTAGTGATTGATTAAACACCTTAGCTTTTCTTTGGCGTTTAATCAATTGCAAGCAGCAGTTTATTGCTTGGTGTATTACACAGTAAAAGAGATTATTACTTAATTATTCTGAAAAATAGCAGCTTGCAGTTGTTGCTAACGTGGGTGTGTGTCTACACTGGCATTGGTGTCATGTCATCTTTTCCTTTGTGCCTCCTCGTCTTTGCGCTGGGAGAGAGCGAGCAGTTCCTGCTGCACAGTCATTCCCACAGCCATCACCAGCACAGTGCAATTAGTGGCTTGAAATAAATAATTGCTTATGGTTGTGGTCTTCCCACAGTGCAGAGAGCCTAATCCTGTCTCTTGCTGGGTTCCTGCAAATCTCCCTTAAATTTTAGGCAATGTCCTTATTAACCAGCCCTCATGAGTATGAACTCACTGTCAGGTACAAACCACTTCAACTCAACCAGAATTATGTTGGTACCAGGAGGCACTTTGATAGCTCAGGGTGCAGCACCAAGAGTGGGAACAACTGGAAATAAAACAGATATGTGGAATGTTATTGGTATGTGAGTGTGAGAAAGAAAAAAAAATAACATTTTGTGACATCCTCTTGAGGATCTAAGAAGCAGCAACTCTTCTGATTTGACACTTGAGGTTTTCTGCCTTGAGTGCAAATACGAATTTGCAAGAGTTCAGAAAGAGTTCAGGAAGAATATTGTGGTATGATAAAGCATAAGGATTTGGAGTAGCATACACATCTGTGTATGTGGGGTACCACAGCTATCACAATCAACATGTATTCTTATCTGTCTGCTTGTGGAATAGGATCTAAACCACCTGTATTCCTGTGCAAAGGGATAGTCCAACATTTAGAATTAAAAATTGGGGTTTAGATCCTTGCTTTGCCCCTGACTTTCTCTATGATCACAGGCAAGTGATTTTGTCTTTTTGTGCCTCAGTTTCCTTTGTGAATGGGACTAACCATTGTTCACTGCCTTAGAGAAGTGTGTGAAGTTAAGGGCTACTAGCTGCTCCTCTGCTGTGGTAATGGACTCCATCTAAATACTTTCAGTAGAGAAATGAAACCTCTTTAAAGCTTTGATCCTGAACCAATTTGTATGAATTAAAGCTGTGCCTTTGACTTGAACAAGGGTAGTCAATGGAAGACCAGTGACAAAGCATCCACATTTTAGTCATTTTCCAAAATTATTGTAGGGGTAACTGGGGTGGGTGGGGTATCATGAGGGAAGAAAACTGAACCTTGTACGTCAGGGGTTTTTTGATTCATGAGGGTAGTAGAGGTCTGACCATCACCTTTATAGGCAGCTGTATGAATCCAAGAGGTTGGTAGTGCTCTTGCTCATGCTTAAAGCTGGCATTGCCCATGAAGAGTGATGCTTTGACCAGTCCATAGAAGTCTCACAGCATCGAATACCGGTTTTGTGTCAATTGTGCGATGCCTTTGCAAGTACTCCAGCAGAGTTGGAGCGAGCAGACGTGCACTGTCCAGTGACTAAGAGAAGTTCATGTTTCTTTGAGAAGGTGCTGGATGGTCCTAACCATTAAAAGAGTTTATTTTCTTACTCCAGCAGATTTCCCCTCCTTGATGTTACCAAATTTATCATCGCTTTTGTCTTTCAGGTGTAACCTGTCTTTAGTGTTGCAGACACATCAGCCAACCATGCATTCAGAACTGGGCCCTTACTTTAATTCAGTATGATTTTCTTTTTGTCCAATAATTTCACAAGCACTAATCCACACTTCAAATGCAGGAGATACTTTGATCCCCAAATTGTTCAGCACTTCATGCAGGAAAAACCGTAGGCCACAGTCATGAAACTCCTAGAGGATGGCTGCTGGCTTCCTGTGGCAGAGCTGGTTGTTGTTTTCCCCCCTCTCCCTTCTTTGCTCTAACCATTTTGTCTGTCTATCTTGTCTTGTATTCAGTTTTCAAAGCAATTACCATGAAGGGCTTCCTTATTTTAGTGCCTAAAAGGGAACAATAGATTTTCAGAATAAGCATAAATGTATTTTTTTATACGACCCTCTGTATATGCATATTATATCTATCATACATGTACTTCAATAGACCATAATGACAAGTTCAAAATTAACAGAAATTAATACTTTTTATTTTTATTTTTTAAGAAAAGGTCTTTAATGTATCCTTAAATGCACGTGACATCTAAAATAATTCCAGTGCTGGATCCCTGAAAAAGTAGATGACCTTTTCTCTTGAAATTGGAGAGTGGTTTTTCCTTAACAGTTATGTTATGCACAGAAGATGAGATGTTAACCAAGATGTTAAAATGTATTGTTTCCCTTTGAACGCTAATCTTGTTCCTCATTTTCATTAATGTTGGCTCATTCATTTTTTCTTTTTATTTCCTTTTCTTTTGCAACTGTTTTTGCATGAAAATGCAAAGTAGCAATAAACAGATTTTTTTGTAAGACTTGCTTTAAGACTCTTCTCTTTCAGATCCAGTAAGTTTTTAAGTTCAGTTATTTTAAAATTCGTATTCTTCAGTTCCGTAAACAAAATAATGGAGAAATATAATGAGGTGCAAAGCGATTTTCTAGCCCTCACTAATCAATAAATGCCAGCAAAATGGGGATGGTGTAATGTCCGTAATTTAATTGTCTGCTGTTACCAGGTCACCACGAGACAGTAGCAGAAGTGGAGAGAAGCTGGAATTGGCCATGTCCAACCTCACTGCGGATGTCCTGGAGTTACTCCTGGAGTTTGTTTATACAGGTTCTTTGATCATAGATTCAGCCAATGCAAAAACCCTACTGGAAGCTGCCAGCAAGTTCCAGTTTCATACTTTCTGTAAAGTCTGCGTTTCGTTTCTAGGTAAGAATCACTCCATCTAGTGAGGTTTTAAGATCTCATTGTAAGGTTTGGAAGCCCTCCTTCTAACAACTCTTAAAAGATAATTGGGAAACCCAAGATTAAATATAAGAAAATTACAATCCATTATTTATTTGGGTTGAGATTCTAATTTAAAATCCTGACACAGTGATCAGTGGAAAATTATCTAGAGAAGCGTAGCCTGTTGTTTGCGTGGCAGCTGCTTTCACATCTCAGGTAGAATTCTTTCTTGGGTCTTGGTTCACACTTGGTATTGTGGTGACATTTTCTTTCGCAGTGGTTGATCATGGCACACATACCAGGATGTAGCTCACAGTTTGCTCATAACTGTGACAGCAAACAGGGGGTGCTACATCAGGCCAGCCTGGCCAGCTTCATCAAGGGCTGAAAGAGTTGGAGGTGGGCTCCCACAGACAAGTCAGGATCTGCAATTTTCTTGCATCCATGAAAAAATCCTTCATAAATCCAGTGTTGTTGTGAGCAAGATCTGGTTGACGTACTCCAGGTTGGATGTTCCCTGGGTTTGTTCTTTCATACAGAGTTAGGGTCTGATGGATTTGTGTCATCAAAATGGTTGATGGGAATTAAAGGTTTCTCTGCCCACCCATGGTGTGCCCTGCGTGCACGGGGAGCATTTGCTCCAGTGAAGATGTGCCGTGCAACATCATCACCAGTGCACCATCACCAGTCTTATCTTCTCATGGCTCCTTGAGAAGCCCATTCTTCTTGTCCGTTGCACCATGTCATGCTGCTTCTAGCATTTTCTGTATATTTTTCAACATTGACAATTTCGAAACAATCCAAGGTTCCCAGCTCAATTAACTAAGCTTTACTGGTCTGAGCTGGAACCAGCCAGCCCCATTTCTATCACGGCAGAAGAGGAGCCAGAACTGGAGCTCAGCTGAAACACACATTGGTTCAAATTTGTGCCTCAGTCATACCACTTCATCACTAACATGTTAATAATTTATAAATTATTGATTTAATGCAAACTTATAAATACAAAATACATGAGTTTGGTCTTATATATTTTACTTTCCATGTCCAATTTCCAAATATCTTTTTTTTTTTTTCACATCTCATTTCTGTTCAGGCTCCCTCAAATTGGTATGGCAGATGTCATTCTCTCTGGACCTCAACCCACATAAACTATAGGTTCTTCTTGGGCATTTCTCCTTTAAAATTAATATCTAGATTTGCAGAGTGTGGCAGATGAGGTTTAGAAAATACTGCACTCGTTAAAACAAACAAACAAAAAGCAAACTCCACTGAGTTCAGTTTACTGCTGTGCTAATTCTCACTGCTAAGCTGTCCTGCTGGCAAGATGAGTGGTGTGACTAGGCTGGTACAATGCAGGCAACAGTAAAGACTCTGTGCTATTGTAGTCTTCTCTTCTTTCCAGCTTTTTATGCATCACTTGTTTAAAAGCCTGTTCTCAAATAGGTGGGTAATAAGGAAATGAAGCTTATGCTTTGCAATCCCACCATGTTGACTGTGCAGTTTGAATAAGGTCTCTGCACATTGCTTTCCCCCAGCTTCCCTTCACCACCTTTTAAAACTGATTAGATCTTACGACCTTTCCAGCAACAGGAGATGTGTTTAAGTTGCACTATCTCTGAAGAGTCAGCCACAGAACCAAAATACATTTATTTCACTAAAACAATTTGAGATTTCT